ACGAGAGAAATAAAAATGGTAATAAAGTCTGAACTGTAGCTCTCACAATCTGTCAACACCAATTAAAATAGAACTACCAGTTACAGTTTTACCGTTCATATGTTCCACCATTACTCAGAATTTGTCCAATAACTCCCAGAGAGAAAAGTAGAATAATGCTTTCTTGGTTCTCCTCTTTCAAAGGAAATTTAATTTAGCCTGTGGATAAATTTATTATCACACAGCCCTATCTTCACACTGCAGCTGCTTAAAACCCACAGCAGCCACCCTCTAGCTGTTATTGTGTTTTCCTCTGCAAAAGCAAACAGAGATAACACATCTCAGTCTTTCTCTTTCCCTTCCATGCTTTCATCGCTGTCTCTCTGTATTCATTTCCTCTGTCTTACCAACCCTGACAGGCAGGTGGTATATGGTGTAATGTGTTGATCTGTGGAGCCATCAGTTTTCCCCGAGGCCCATTTTGAACACTGGTCAATGCTTAGCTGCTTGCTGTAATGTCATTTCAGGATGGTACAATAGCACAAGTGTAATTTGCAGTCCTGTTTCATTTGGATGTCTTTTTGGTACCTCGCTGAGAAATCCCATTACAGCGTATTAAAATTTGTATGTTGGTGTTCGGGATAGGGGTTTTTGCGCAGTGATTCGCAATAAGGTTTTATGTAACACTGTGCCAATGATCTGCATTTCAATGGCAAATGATCTTAATAACTCAGCAATCCTCTGCTCATCAGGGAAGACTTCAAATTCACCAGCACCATATTTTCTTTTCTGTCTGAGACTTCAGACTTGATGAATTACTTTTATTCTATCTTTTGGAAATCTACATAATATCATCTGTCCTCCCAGCTTTTATGCACTTTATAAGATCTATTGTAGGCTCTTGAAAGCTTTCAAATGTTTAAAGTTTATCTTTTTGACATAAATATTACCTCAAATGGAGTTAGGAGTGGGGCACCAGAAAACATGAGAGAGAGAGAGAGAGAGAGAGAGAGAGAGACAGAGAGACAGAGAGAGATTGTGTATTCATGACCAGTAGATGGGGATCATGCCGCAGGCAAATTTGAGAGACTGCTCTACACACTCCTGCTGATTCATTCATTCAAACACAAACAGGGTAAATATAGAATATCTAATGAATGCACATATAGGTAAATATATATTCAGCTGACCGATTTATAATATAAACTGTAATCTGCATGGAAATGTACTGCAGTGGATTTATATTACTTCCCTGCCTTGTGGGCTGGAATTCCAATATTAACTGCTATTTTTCTTTTCTTAGCAAATTTATTTAAGCATCACAGGAAAAAAAAAATGTGCTGTAGATTTTAACTCAAAGCCCTGAAGGCAATTGGTTCCCATATGCCCCATGATAATGAAATCTTTTACCATGCCAAGAAATAAGTGCTATACATCAATAAGACACTAGACACTTTTGCAAAATGTTTTTTTTTTACACATTCTGTTTCTATTCAGTGCAAGAGTTGTGGCAATATATTGTAGGAAACTTGGTGTTATGCACTCACACAACCAATATCCGACTATAACAATGGTAGATTATTATAATATAAATCAGGTTAAGCCTTGGGCTCTTTTAGTGCACCATAACAATCTGGTCTATTCATTTCCTGAGCTCAGTGGCCGATATACCTGAAACTTCAGTGCTTGGAAATATTGCATGAATTGGACACTGAGGCGAAATTTGAGGAAGGTATTCTGGTAGACATTTTCATTTTCTGTTCTACATTAGAAACACTTATTTCAGCATCTACATGCCGTACAGACATCGCCTGAGTCCAGACCTTCAAATCGCTCACTCCGCAAGTTGATCATTCTGTCTGATATCAGGCAAGCATAGTATCTTTAAATTTCTTTTGTACTTATTTTTACAATACCTTATGTCTTACTAAATGTCTACTTTAAGAGGATCTATTATGTATTGCTTGCTTGCATATTTGTGGACACACTCACTATATGAACAATTTTAAACTAATTCTGACACTAAATTTGACCCACACTGCTGTCTGGATTTTACTTAAAACTTTTTAGCTTTTTGCCTTCAGTGCTTCTAATACTATCACTTACTGCCTTATCTTATTTTTATGCTCCACCATTTTTGTTTATGTTGTTGAATACATTTTGATAAATACTATATTTTTGTATTTAACATTATGTGTGGATAGTTTTTTAGCATTTTATAGTCTCCAGTGTTTTATTATTATTATATACATCAATCCATTGAAATGCACTAACTAACTGTAATTATACAGGCAATGCTAAATGTCTACAAGATGCTATAGATTTATTGATTAGATGTTAACATCCCAGACCTATCCCATCACCGACTAGTATCCAACCCTGTGATCAATGTTGGTAGTAGTACAAGTACATTGTGTTTAAAGAATATGCCAATTGCAACTGATTAAATGTCAAATCTGTGTGCTTTATCAAACATACAAAGGTAAACTAATTTATGGTATTTTGTATTTGATCAGTGCTTATGATTTATTCAGGTGGCATAATAATCATTTTGGTAATTTTGTTCCAGCCTCCATAATTAACCAACAGAAACATACACATGTAAATGAATAAGTCCAATAAGCAGGTTGTGAGTGGCTGGTAAAAGTGATCTGTGAGAGCATTGCTGGGTGCTGAGAAATAGCGTGAAATATTTAGAATGCTGCAGTCTCTCTACACCCATTATGATTGATCTGTTCCCTTTTTCACTCCTTCATAAAGTCCTCATCAATGCCTCTCTCTCACTTCCATTCTTGCAATCTAAAACCACTTTTCAGCATCGATCTACTGTTACAGACACCAGAGCAATCGGAGCTCATACACTGCAGTCAAGTTTCTTTTCCAAACTTGTCATGCTTGACACACCCAGAGCAGAGTGTTTCAGTGCTTTCCCAGGTCAGATAGATCATTTTTTCCCACGCTGAGATCTGCCCCTGCCTCATCACATTGGGGTCCCAGTGGTGTTCATTAACACAGCCAGACAAGAAATGAAGATAGCTACTACTTTAAGGAACAGTTCAATCCGAAATGAAAACTTTCATCGGTCTTATTTTACTCATTGGCACTCTGCTGTGTCTGCCTTATCCAAAACAAGAGGGATTCAGTAATCCCTGATTCATTAAAAGACTGCGAGTGAAGTGCAATCGTTTCTATGTATGAAGGATTATAATATCGCCTGGTGCATGTCAGAGATGAGGAATTGCACTGTGAGGTAGTCCTGTCTGGAAATGTCTCATTTATACTTCTTAAACTATACCACAGTGTTTTTTTCACCCACGCTGCCACCATGTGGCATGGTGTATTATTTTCATTTGAACACTGGAGGGGGCTACAGGCTAAATTTGGTTTTCAGTCTGAATGTGCGCAAACAACACAGTCTGAGGTCTTTCATCATTTACATTGATGGTTAGTCTAACTCAATGTCAACCAAACTTCCTCATTCCCAGTATCATTACTTTGTCTAAAGATCCTCCTGTTTTAAAGGGGTATTGATGATGTGCCTATCATGCAGTTAGAACAAACATTGTCAGCTCCACAAATGCATTATATATTATATATAGAAAACACTTTAATAAGGGACCCAGGCTATTGGATCTACCTAATGTAAACTCTGGCACTGTCATGAGTACAAAGGAAGGAATGAAGCCCTGCAGCCTTCATTATGTTTAAACTATTTATTTATTTTATATTGTATTATGTTAGGTATTCCATTTGATTTTTTAATTATTTTAACTGTCTGATTTCATTTACCTCAGTGCATTCCTGGGATGTTTTAATCCTGGTTCAAACATGTAAAGCACTTTGTAACTTTGTTTTGAAAAGTGCTGTATAAAGTGTTATTATCTTTATGATTATGATTATGATGATGATGATGATTATTATTATTATTCAAATGGCCAAGTACGTACAGTCGGAAATAAAATACGTTTTTAAAGATAACAGGTATATTTTTCATCAAATATTTTATAATAGACTATCAGTGGTTAGTGTAAGGCACTTCATCCCCATCTGTTCCAGTGGAGCAGCTCAGGTGAAAATGTCGATGGATGAACTTTTCAGAGCTTGTAAACTTGTCTGCCCCAGCCAGTCAAATAATAGTGAAAAATGATCAATAGTTCAGCGTCCAACAACAGAGTTACGTTATAAAATATTGACATTTCGGTTATGTAATTGGACGCTTCCATAGAAAACGTTTTTCCCATGACAGGGCTCGGATTTTATGTATTTTAGAACTAATATCTAACTTGTGATGGAGATGTTTTCGGTCAACAGTCAAGGGTATGGTGTTGATGACGTAACTGTGTAAAAAAAATACCGCCCTATTTAAGGAAGCAATCGACCTCCCAGCCTCATCTTCAAAACAAGTTATTATTTCCACCGAAAATGTGCAAGATCGATTTCTGCTGACGGTATGTTCACGTGTTATAATTTCCGTTGCCATGTAATGTAATGTAATTTCCTTTAACGTACACTTTCCTCCGCTAAGTCTGTCTGTGTACTGCAGACGTACACAAACCAGTTGATGCGGATGCATATCACTAAAGTTACAATGTACTGCGGTCGGATACCGTATTTGATGTTTTAGAAAACAAACTCGCCATAGGTTTTGAATTGTGACGCTTTTAATAGTTATTTGTTCCTCGGCCATCTTGCCGGCAGGTTATTTCATAAACCTGCGACTTTCCCTTTTGTTTACTACTTTTGGGGGTCGACCATGTGCGCTCAGTTAGTAGCGATATTTCCGACGGCACGTTAATGCAGCATAGATGCAGCGTACAGATCTGGAACAGGGCGGTATGAACCAGATCTGTTAGACAGTCAACGGAAGTCCGCGAGAAACTATACATTCAAAATAAAATACATACATATAATTACATAGCTGCAGTGGTGACATTGGGGATTTAAAGATACTGAGCACATGCCCCCCAGTGCAATGTAACCTACCTAGATTTGTATTGTATGTATATCAATAGAAAATGGTCATCTTTTACAAAAATCACACATTTTCTCAATGTATTTCTTCATTCAAAGCCCTTTCTGAAGATTTCAATCCATGGTTGCCTTATTGTTTGTGCCAAATTCTTTCTTCTTCTTTTTTTCCCTTTTTATTTCGAACATGTGCGAGTAACACAACAAAGTACAACAAAGGAACAAAGGAACAAACAAATCCAATGAAAATAGTCAAAACAACAATAACAACAGTCAAAACAAAAGTAATAACGTGAACCCACATGTCCGAAAAGGAGTAGGATGAAGCATATGCTTATTTAAACCTACCCCTTCTCCACTACTCAATTAACAATCTTTCTCCCCAACATACATATTTACATAAAAGGAAAAAAAAACTAAAAAATAAATAGATTAAATAAACAATACAAAATCATTTTATGAAAACACCCGATTGTTTAAAGCCTTCTCCTCCCTGACCTCCTGAAAACGGTTGTACAACTTTGTAAAACTGGATCATGCTTGATGCTTTGCACATTGCTTGAGCTCCACACCCAGTCTGTTCCACAACCTCACTCCACAAACTGAAAAAACTTTTTAATGTTGTTACGTTCTTCCTTGAATGATTTACTATTTCATTTACTGTGACATCGAAGCACGTTTAGATATTTAATCCTTTACTTTGAAAATATACAGCGGAAATGTCCCTTCATTGCGGTGACGTTGACAGCTGTGTATCGTTGTTTACTAACGGTAACCACTAACCCTAACTTACCCGTCCGAGTAACTTAACGTTAGTTGTCCACCTTTGTTAAAGCTCGTCTGTTGCGGGTTATTGACCGTCGGGGTCTTCTCTCTCTGAATAACGGGGCAGCGATGAGTAGCGGTGCACCGGTCAGCCGGTCAGGTTTGCTTTAGACCGGTTTAGAAACTGGTTCACTGGAAACTCTCCATTTTCGAGGCTGCCTAGAGCGGACGCATAACTTAAGTAGGTGCCAAAAGAAAGAAGAGAGCTGTTATGACGATGGTTTCCCTCGCTTCAGTTGTTTTGTACCACTGTTGCTATTCGCAGGACGCTTTTTTTAGCTAGCACACTTGCCGGTGGTTTAGCTACTGTGGCCAGCGACCATTGGAGGTGAGTTCACAGCTAACAGCTAGCTCGGTTTCCATCAACGTGGTTTGTGACAGTTTACGCTAAAAAGCAGCCAGTCGTCACACTTTATATCCTGCTCCTGTGTTGTGTTGTCGACACTCATTTTAAAATCTGTCGATGTCTTTCAGTAGTTTTCGTCGCCAGTCTTTGTCCGTGCCTTTGTCAGCTATGGAGACCGCTCAGGTGACTGTGGCTGTGAGAGGAGAAACATCCCCAGGTAACTTACGGCTCTTCAACGTAACTGTAGACACTAACACACAAACATAAAGCGGTCAGTCTTTGTAAACACATAACCTTTAAACTAGATACACTTAGAAGTTGCTATGTTGTAAAATGTTTTGTTTTACACTGTTATTTGTTGATATCCATCGATGATCTATTTGTGAAGTGTAGTAATGTCAAAAAGATTATTGTCCATTTTTTTCCCCCAAAATATTGAAATCATTGTTCCACTTGTGACGTGTTTATAAGCTCCTGGAAAAAACGGAGGAGGTTGGGATTGTGAAAATAACAATGTATTTGCCACACATTCATTATACTCCATGTCAGCATGGCCTTGTTTAAGAATAATATAATAATTACATCTCAAATATTGTAGTTAAAACGTTGTAAATGTCAGTCGTATTTGTGTTTAAATGTTTGTGAAGTTACATCTGGTAACGGGCTAATTTGAACATTTGTAGGGGAGGTGATTGCAGTTGTCGGTAGCTGTGAAGCCCTGGGGAGCTGGAGCCATGAAAAAGCTGTGACCTTGCATCCTGATAGTAATGATGGGTAGGTACAGTTTTATCTGTAATATCTCTGTGTTTATTTTTTATTTTTTTGCAAGAGCGTGTCTGCTTTTCTTACTGTTTTTGTCCTTGTAAAATATGAACGTGTATTTTGACTCCCTGACAGAAATATGTGGACTACAACAATCACTGTGCCTAAAGGAGTGGTTTCCAAGTACCGCTATTTCAAAGGCTTGTTTCTGGAGTCGAAGGTGAGCAGAGTCCTCTGTCTGTATAGTGGTATAGCCTTAAAAATGACAGATTAAATTGCTCGTACTTGTCAAAGAATCTCTTGAAAGCTGCACTGGATGTTGTGACAAAGACAAATGTTGGGAAATTCAAAGCCAGTGTCATTTTGTGATGTGATGACTTCAGGTTCTCTGTCAATTGATACCTTTACTTTTTCAGCTCATCAACAGGAAGTGCAGAAACAGGTTCTATGTGTTTGTTTGTTTGTTTGTTTGTTCCATTGACTTTGAAAGAGTGTGTTAAAAAATGCTAGGTTTCCCACCGTTAACCTGAAGATCCCTCTTAAGATTTGGGCATTTCTTTCCCGATCTCTATACCCTCAGGGATAAACACAGATGAGATACAGCCTTAGGTTAGTTTTGAGGACTAGCCAACCTAACCGCCAGCTGGCTTTGTCTATTCTAACCATGTGAGCCTCTCCTGGTCTCGTCTGTATATAGATACACACACACACAAACATAGCAGGGATCAAACTTCCTTTCAAATTACCTGAAAAGTCAGAGAAGAGTCAGACATTTCTCTGATTAAGTAATAGCACCAAGCTCTTTCTTAGAATGTTCTCTTAGTATGGGTGTGTTATTGTTTTTTTATAAAATCATGGGCGGGACTTGCATTGTGTGAGACTAAAGGCCTACTCCTATTTAAGTTCCTTGTATTTGTACTGTGTTGTTGTGACATGTTTACAGGGTGCAAAATTAACTTATACACTAGCCAATTAGCTAGTGAATGTTGAAGATTTTACCAGCCACTCAATAGATTACCATTGTTTGTTTTTTGACCTACAAGCCACTAGCATTTTTTACCAGCGTATGGCTGGTGCTAGTTTTGTGCACTGCATGCCGCTCTTTGTGAATTGCATAGGCTCTATGTGAGCTAAAAGTTGTCATTGGATCAGTTGATTAAGTTTTTATTCATGCTGTCTGAGTCATGCTTGAAATTTAGTTACTCAAACAGCAGTAGCAGTAATATAACTCTATACCGACGTAAGTAATTACAAAGGTCAAAAATGTGATTCTACATACATAGTTGCTATAGTTAATGATGATTTTGTCGCAGATAAAGAACTGAAGATTTGTTTAAAGCTTATTTTTACTAACAAATCCACTTTTCAGATTTCAACCCATGGTGGCTGACTGCCCTAAGTGGGAATTGGTGAATATACCAGCTCTAATTTTTTTTCTCACACTCTGGTCCAAGGTGGCCGGGAGACCAGACTGAAAAGTAGTTCGATGTATCTGATTTGAAAACCCTAACATTGTACCAAACATTGGAATTGCAGAGTGCAGGTGGTCCCAGTCAAGTGATAGTCAATAAGTGGGAGACCCATCAACAGCCCCGCACGATGAGCCCCACAGGTATAGAAGAACAACAACAACAAAAAACGGTGTACGGGGAGGTTGGGTTTGGTTCTGTGTGTCATACTCAAACCCCTTATAGACCTCCCATTCCCTGCACTAGTGCTATACGTAACAGTTTCCCATCAACACTAATGTAGGGTCAGTTCTTGCTAAAAGAAGAGGGTTCATATTAGGGCTGTACCGAATAGTTTGAAGCTTTAATCACAACATCAAGTTTCAAATACTAAATCAGTATTCAATGCTGCGCTGGTTGGGACTCTATAAAATCGTAGTGACCAGGTTACATCTGTCTGACATTCTCTCTCCTCTGCTCTCAGTCTGTCATGAATGTGTAACGACCTGCAAGTATAGATATCCGTTTGACCGAGGGCTGGGCTGAGCTACACACACACGCACACACACAAATGCACACACAGCAGAGCAAGGACACAGCAGACAGCATGAAGCTTGGCTTAGAACGAAACTGCTGGAAACAATCAGAAAATAATGTTTTATTTTGGATTCACTGCTTTTTTTCTCTCTCTCTCTTCATTCACTCTAAGTTGTTTGACCACCGCTGCTCTCGCTCCCCTTCTCTTACTCATTGAGCCAGGGAAGAGAGGCCAATCTTGAAGCTACAGAAATACACAATACACAAATCCTACTTTTTCTGCCTTTTAAAGACAAACTTGTTTAATCTGAAGAATCACTTTATTCAAACTTCAAAAATGTGACGACTGACATTCGAAGCCTCATTAAAAAAACGTCAAAAGAAGCTTTGAAGAAGGAAAAAAAAAAAAAGACATTTGGTACAGCCCTAGTTAGCATTTCAGGGATAATGTTTTATCCCTTTTTAGGTAGTGTGTTTGTCAAAATGAACATACTGCCACCTGGCTGCAGTAGATGTCATGACCTGATATTGTAGACCTCTGTAGTTAAAACACCATTGGATGGGCCCAACACTGACAGAGCTCATTCAGAACGGGCTTGATAGGAAAAACAGTTGTAACTATGTCTGCACCCTGCTTGATGCCCTTTGTGACCCCAGCCCATCACCCCTTCCTTGTTTTTGTTCTTTTCTTTTGTTTTTTCTAACAAATCCTGCTTAAATGCTTCCCCCACTAGAATAGGAATTTGTTGCACATATAAGGTTTAATTTTATATTCAATTCAGAAGTGTTTTGTTTGAACTCAAATGAGTAATTTCATAAACATCCTGCTAAATTAACCTCATTGTCATGCTCAGAGTTGTAGTTAAAGATCTTTTGAAATCATGTGTTTTATTGCTTTGTCGACTTTTTTGAAGTTGAGGCAAATCAAATTCAGAGCAGACCAATGAAGGCTTGAATTTGGCATCTTGTTTCAAAAGTTTTGAGATTTTCTTCTTTGTTCATAGGAAATGCTCTGGTTTGATCTGACCTCAACTTTTGCACTGTTGGGATTTTTCTATTCTGTTTCTAATGCACTCTTCCTTTATTACAGCGTCACAGCAGACAATTGATGATGGACAATTTGGAATTCAGAGTAAGTTGGATCCAAAAATGTAATTAGTATGAGAGCTCCATGAGATAAAAGTACTGTAAAACAAATGTGCTTAATAACTCGGGGAACTGAATTCCCCATAGACCACATTGTAGTCACTTCCTCTGTTTTGTACAGCAGAGGTTTTGAGGTCATTCATTTTAACAGAACAAACCGCAGCCACTCCCTGCTATTGTCACTGACCCCAGGTCTCTTGTCAGCAGTCACGGGAGACAAAGTGGATGTACATTGTCATCAAAAGCTTCCTGTCTGTCCCCTCCCTTTTCACAGATGGGGTGAATTGTGTTGACTCTGGTTGGCTCACGTGCCAGACAGAGATTCGCCTGCGTCTGCACTATTCTAAGGTGCCTCCAGTGTCTATCACTAAGAAGAAATTCAAGAATTCTCGCTTCAGGTAGGGGTGACGACAAGGTCGAATTTAACACCACCCAGAGAAAGTTCTACTTGAAAGCACCATGCGACCGATCAGTGGATCATTACAGTGCTACTATTACCGGACCTGTTAGCTAAGTGTTACACAAGTCCTACATACAGAATTATAAGAGAAGCTAGGATAATCTTTTATTTATGTTTTAATGCATTATATGTTATAAATATGAGGCTTTAAATATATTAACATATCTGTGTATTTACTTTTGCATCTTTTTTAATTTGACCTACCTACACAGAATCAAGCTGACATTAGAGGGCATTGAGGAGGAGGAAGACGAGGAGGAAGATGAGCCCAGTCCTTCATCTTGGCACAAAATGACCCCCACTCTGGAGATCAGTGTGATCAGTGCCAATGGTTATAAGTCGCGTCACTCGCAGCCTGAATGTGGTTATGGACTGGACCCCTCCCAGTGGACTGAGTACAGTATCCATACCATGGACCCAGACAACCTGGAGCTCACCTTTGAGTTCTTTGAGGTAATACACATGGGAATGCTGCATTTGATCACCCATTTCTTGATACATTATGAAAATAGTATTGACTGACAAATACAAGTGAAAAAGGAAGAACAAACCAGGCACCATGATTAGAGTGACCTGTTTTCATACAATAATTTCATATATTTGTCTACAGGAGGACCTGAGTGAACAGGTAGTCCAAGGGGATGCCCATCCAGGACATGCGGGCACAGCTTGCCTCCTCTCCTCTTCTTTTTTGGAGACTGGTAAGGACAACGGAGTAGCCACACTTCCCATTATGGGTCGAAATTCCAGACAGACCATTGGAAAAGTCAGAGGTAAGATTTTATACAAATGAATTCCACACTGGCTGACAGTAATCTGACTAGTCTTACTTATCATTTCACACAATGTTACTCTCGTTTTAGTGGATTACCTGGTGATCCGGCCCATCCAAGGGCTACAGTGTGACATGAGCTCCTCGTTCACCAAGTACTGGAAGAAAAGAGGCGCTCTGAATGTGGGGCACAGAGGAGCTGGCAGCACCCACGCAGCCAAGTGAGTCATAACAGTCTTTGACTTTGATAAGACAGAGTGCCTTGCATTAAATGCAGACCAGAAATAAAGAATTAATAGCACACAGTGTGCGCCAATAGGGGCCAATACTTCTGCATAACTTGCATCTGTTTGCTGTCAACAAATTCCCTTTTAACTTGTTTAACAGGCACCAAAGAATCAGGGAGAACACAATAGCCTCATTTAAAAGTGCTGCCAACCATGTAAGTTACGCAGAGAATTAAAGCACGACTAAATATTTACCTTTAACATTACATCTGCCTTAATCGTGTCAATTGTCAATACTTGTAGGGGGCAGCCTACGTAGAGTTTGATGTCCACCTCTCCAAAGATGATGTTCCTATTGTATACCACGATCTGACATGCTGCATATCCACCAGGAAGGTAAAATAAAGGCCTGTTGTACTTTATGATGAACACATGAAAATGACTCGTAAAGTCATAAAATCTGAGATGTTATACTTATGTTATTTTCCTTTACTCCTTCATGACTTGATTAATATATAAAAACAAATGTATGTCACTACTTAAAACAATTCATATTATCATTTCTGTTTTTCTGCAGAAAAATGACAAGACTTCTCTCGAGTTTATTGAGGTGCCAGTCAAAGACTTGACATTTGATCAGCTGCAGCTTCTGAAGGTAAAAACCTTGAATCATGGCCAAAACTATGCAAATAAGACTTTAGATGACAGTGGATACTTATTAATATTAGCTATACCTGTGCTTTTCCTGCTTTGGGAAGTCTAAATGCCTGGTACTTAGGGTTTCCTCTACTTGCAGCATTCAGATTAATAAAATTACAAAATAAACATCAAACAAATCCTTTTCTAGAAATTGGAGCATTTTTTGGATTATGGCCTTCTTGCAGTAGTTGAAGAGGAAATGGGCAAAGCATTGTAGTACGAAGGTAGTTCCAAGAAATTAGAAATGGGTAGAAGGCAAATAGTTAGTATCAAGAATGTTATCATGTTTATATACCCAAATTTTACACGCATTATTGAAACACGGAACGGACAACAAACAATAATCAACCCGCTCCAGCCTACTCCACCCCACCCATGCTGCTGAAAACAATAAAAACTGTACATTATTTAATTTGTTGATTGTAGTTGAAAGTAGTAAATAATGTGTGCTTTTCTTTGTTGCACAGCTGGCCCATGCCACTGCGATAAAAGGAAACAATGACAAAGGTATACACATATTGCTTGTGTTTTTTTTCTTTCTATATCCTGTAACATCACCCCCGTCGGCCAGGTAGATCAAAAGACTGGCACGAATTCAGCTATGATCAAGGATTGCTTTGATATATTACAAAGCAGGTCCTTTGTGCGTTTGGGAATTTTCAGTAATCTGTTTTGTTTGTTGTTCAGATCTGCTGGACGATGAAGATGAAGTCGATGAGCATCAGCCATTCCCGTCGCTCTCACAGGTACATGACTTTATGATGAGCAGGGTTATTAAATGGCTGATGTAATCAGTATGAGCTGTTCCCTGTACTTATAAATATAGATTACAGTACCTTCAACTGTACCTACTGCCAAATCACCATGACATACTGATACTGAAAGGAACTGCTGAATAATAAATGTCTTCTTCTTATCTTTGTAGCCTTCTTTTCACTGTCTTCAGTCAATGCAAAATCACAGTAAAATAAATAGCATCCTTCAATCCTCTACAGATTTTCCAAGCTATTCCTGAGCATGTGGGCTTCAACATTGAGCTCAAATGGATCTGCCAGATGAAGGTGGGTATACTTAATGAATAGGGTCAATAATCATTTGCTCAATAAATAGGGCTGAGGAGGTCTTCACTAGAATAGGCTCACTCAGTGTATTGCAAAGAATATTTTAATTCTATAATTCAGTGTAAAATAAAAATGTATTGTAATGATGAGATTGATGCTTTTTGTTGACAGGACGGTACATGGGACGGCAACCTATCGTCCTACTTTAACATGAATAAGTTCCTCGACATCGTCCTGTCCTGTGTTCTGCAGAAAGGTGGAAAAAGACGCATTGTCTTCTCCTGCTTCGACCCAGATATCTGCACAATGTAAGCCCCTGTTTGCAACTGAGGGGGGAAAATGCCCAAATTTGATTAGGCTGTAGAAACGGCATACTATCCAGAAACACAACTTTACATGGCAGTGGACTTGGTTTCAGGAAAAGTACCGTAGAAGGCCTTCTCTGAAATTTCAAAAGCCCATGTATTGGCTAATAATTTAGTTAAATCACTCTTTCCTCACTCCACCTGTAAAGCATAGAGTATATAATGTTATGCACATCTTTCCTTGTGTTTCCCTCAGGGTGCGTCAGAAGCAGAACATGTACCCCATCCTCTTTCTGACTCAGGGAATTTCAGACAAGTATCCTGAGCTGATGGACATCCGCTGCCAGACTACTCAGATCGCCATAAGTTTTGCCCAGAGCGAGAATATTCTGGTGAGCATTTGTGGCAGAAGGTCAAACATTTATTACAGTGTATCCACATCATTTTCCAGACTTTGAAAGGGTAGTGTAATATTTAAAAATACAAATGGCAGGAATATAAGGGCCGCACATCAGTCGAAACAACTGTCCACATAACAAAGCTAGCATATTACTGAATCAGCTGTCTGTAAGACACATGTCCATGTGGTTTAACAGTGCAAAAACAGCTTATGCAGCGTAATCTGACAATGTCACATTGTCAATGTCACAATGTCTCGTTGTTTTGAAAGCACATATGTAGCTGAATTAGCTTACTTGCTACATGTTTACACACTTTATCTTACATTTGACTTTAACATGAAAGTGAGCAGGTAAAAAGTACATTTTATTTTAAGAAACTTTTTTTCTTACTTGCCTTCCTCCTTTAGGGGATCAGTGGCCACACAGAGGAGCTGCTAAAGAACCTTAGCTACATTGCGGATGCCCAGTCTAAAGGCCTGGTGGTGTTCAGCTGGGGAGAAGACAACAACGACCACGAGAACAGAAGGAAGCTGAGAGAGCAGGGAATTGATGGGCTCATCTACGATAGGTAGGTTAAAATGCAACATGGCTATGTGTGGCTGCCATGTCCACTAAGTCCTTCAGACCTCAGCATTGGTAGTGTTGTCCCCAAACACAATCATTTCAGTTAATGTCCATTTCAGAATTTTGTACAAGATGAAATTATTTTGAGCGTTTTTTGTTTTCCAAACAGTTTCTTCTATTCAAACATGTTCGTACACTCCTGCTATTTCTGTTGTGATAAACATTCTCATGGTTGTGTTTCCAACTACAATCTCTGCCTGTTACCAAACACCCTGCACTGCAAACTGTAAAGTACACCCTGTGCTGTTGTCTCGGTTCAGCTTGAAGCCACATACGAGTCATTGAGCAGGGCTTTCAGGTTCATACATTGATTACTCATTCGCTTCTTGTCATTACCACAATAATAATCACTGAAGGTCCTTTGTTTATCAGCACAGTTTTTCAGGGTTCAAGGTTATATAATCAAGCATTGGCAGACATGTTAATCACTTGGCAACACCTGCCATAGCTGTTCAGGAAAATGGGTTTTATTATCCATTGAACGTGTGTGAATGTAAAAATTGGTACACATTGATGTGCTAGTGCTGTTACATAAAGCTTGGCTTGCTAGCAGGATGAAAGAGAGTTTGCTCCGGTCTTAGCAAAACTGCCTGGTCAGCAGGACCTGTTTGTTCAGCCGTTTCAGTTCTGTGTTTCACTATATGACATTTGCTCTGTATTTATGTTTGCACTTTGGCCCAGACTTGTAGAAACTCCTGCAGAAAGCTGACCATAGGCTTTGAATCCTATAATACAGCCTGGCAGTCTCAGCAGACTCCAGATGTGACTTAATTTTTCTCCAGGTTGTTGTTATAACTATGCCTCTTTCTTACAGAATTTGTGAATGCTTGGTCCCGTATTATGACTCAAGTTCTTCAGATTTACCGTAATGTCTCTCTGGTTCCTGGCTGTGTCTTGTTTTTTTACTTTACATCCCCACGTTTTTGGTTCTAACCTCAAATACTGCCTGAAAAGCCTGTATCTAATCATTAATACGCAGCAGGAACCAAATAATGTTCCCGTGACAATGATGCAAGACGGTTGACTTCTCATATGGCCTACACCTTAATGGTACTTGACGTTTCAGTGGCAATTATCTTTTTGGATCTTCTTAGAACATTGATTGGTCAACTGCCGTGTTTATCATTTTTGAGTCTAGTTTGTCTCGCTGACAGCTAGGTCACTTTCTTTTTCTTTTTTTATGCCTGTGTATTGTTTTGGGTACGCTTTGAAAGGCTTGGTATGATACTCCGTGACACTCAACAGCTTGTTTAGTGCATGAGACGGTGTTACTTGAAATATTAGCTTCCGTATGAACCAAAAATATACGTTTGTATTTTTAACTGCTAGTTGTAATCAAATTTGCTTAATGTATGCAAGTGTCATAGCACCAAACCGCCTTGACAACCACACATATTCACTATGCGCAGCTTGTAAATGTAATGAAACTGAATGGGATGGATCGACTCAAATGACGCTGATCCAAGAGAGCCCTGCATTTAAGCTTCACATGTATTGCTATTCAGCTCGCAGCAACTTTGTGAGATATCAGTGTTTTTTTTCACATGTATATTTTCTATTATTTGCACCTTGAACTCCACCTTCTTGTACTGCAGTTCGGTTCCTTTACAAAGGGGATGATTGCACTGGACTCTCTTTGCAAGCTGGAAAATTGAAAGCACTGCTGCTTTCATCAAGTAAAGCCTTCAGCGGCCTGTCTCGTGAAATTAGTTGAACACAATCAGAACAGCCTGCCTAGATTTACCATCTTGGATTACTCACAAAGCTGGAGTGTATTGACCTAAAGATACCTCTCAATCTGAGCAAAAGTTTCACTGCATGTGGTTAATATTGGCTGGCTCTAATCCAGTTCACGTCTAGAGCCCCAACCTTAACCATGTGTAACCTACTGTAAAGCTTTTGATTGACAGAGCCCATTGTTGAATACACACTTATTCAGTGTAATGTAGCACATGATGACTGTCGTACACATAAGACTGCATAGCTGTGATAAGTATTCCTTTACCTCCATGGAAAAGAGGATTTAGCTTTCTAACATTTGTAACATTGTCTGTATGGGGTTGAATGATGCCTTTGTTTCCCATACTTCACTGGTGAGGTTGTTTGCCATATGTGTGATTCGACTTGAACATAATGTGCTTTTGATGCAGGTTGTAAAAGTGATCCACCCAAATAAAAACTGATAAGCCAGGGTCTGGCCCAAAGTACATTAATAATCTTATTTCATGAGTCAGGCTAAGAGGCCAAACATGGCACATGCCAGGCAGGTAATAAGGGAGGTGCCCTGAATGAATAGTATTTATTAACTCATTGAAAACGATTAAAAAAAGGTTCCTTCTCTCTGCCAAAATGTCAACCAGTACAATCTTCCCCCTAGCCAAAATGAATGCAGCATTTTCACTAACATGCATGCATGAAAAAGTAAGTGTGGAGCTACAGTATGTTACCATTACTGCTTTGCGCTTTAGTTTAGAGCAGAACAGGAGCAGTCTATCTTATATTTTTATCTTGTATGAGAAGTTCATACTAATGATACATTTTGTTCCACTGGACTACTCCTTAGTGCTGGGCAATACATACAAACATTGCCATCACATGTTATTATTTGACAGTATTATGTTGCCTTAATCATTGATTCCAAACAACCCTGAGTTGTGAATTTTTAGGGCTTTTTCATTTTTAGGTAGCAAATTAAGTTTGGATCAGGACAGCTCTGCTATTACTGTACTCTGGTTTCTGAATGATGGATGGCATGTAAAATACCCCCGTGTACACTTCACTACTGTCTGGTCTAACTTAAGCATGTCTTCTCCCCCTTTTCCTGTAGTATCTGCGAGGAACAAGGAGAGCAGCCAAACATCTTCAAAGTAGAGGAGCAACACACCCTGCAGGAGGTTATTACAGAGGAGATGAGCTCCACCTGTTCCTGCTACTCCATCCCCTGCTCCATGGCTCCCTGCATTGCCTCCAACTCCCATGCTGGCAGCACTGAGTCCGATTCTGGCCTCAGCTCCTCATAAATGTCCCTTAACTTCTACCTTTCAGTGGACCTCACAGTACATACACACTCATGCTGGGAATGGATGATTGAGCAAAAACGTGTTGAAAAGTGACAACTTAGGTTTGCGTGTATATATTCTAAAATTTGTTGAAGGTTGTTACAAGATTTTATCATTTCTTTCTTTATACATGATCACAAGAGTAAAACCACTTAAACCATCTCCACTCCACTCTGCTACAGTTACAGATTGTGTTCATGGTCTTGTATCTTCACAAAAGTTTTGTTATTTATGCTTTGTATTAAAATAGATGGATGTTTTGCCAAGATTTTAAGCCAGTCGTGCATGTATTTGTTGTCCTATTCAGTGATCATAACCGGCTGTACCGAGGTGGCATAATAGTGGAACAATGTCAAACTGGGAATTTATGCTTGACAGCGGATATTTATTTTGCCAATATGTTGCATCTCTTCATAGTCTAAGTGCTAAAATGTAATTTGTATGATATTTTAAGAGGGTAAACATTTGAGTGAACTTCGAATTGTATGTCATAAAGTGTATGATGCAGGATTATGCTGTTTTTCTTTTTCTGCTGTTCTCTCTCTCCTGATCATGTATTCATTACCTTAAGTATTACTTTCATTGTCTTAACTAGCAATGAGTAATTCCTACTTATTGCTATTTCAGGTATTGTTAGGTTTACATACTACACATTATAGTACATGCCTATCGGTTGAAAGCGCTTGCTCCTCTCCACAGTTTCAAAATCCTGCTTATTTACTCGTAATGATTAAGACATTTTATTTTAAATGACATACTGCATACTGGAAGTACTGTATCATTTATCCCTTTATCTACTTGATTTGAGGAAGAGCAGGAGAATGTTTTATTTGCAGAAGTGCACATACATATCACAGCCTTAAGGGAAAAAAATGATGTCTGTTTCTGTTTTCCTGCCTTTGTTTTTAAACTTTGATACCTCACTCTTCATCTAAACTAAACAACTAAACTCAATTTTATTGTCAACAGTAAACAAATGTTTCTGATAAATCCACTTTAACAACAACCATGTTTTTTTTTTATTGCATGGCAGATAATGTTTTGGCACAAATTACGGTTGAAATAGTAATTTGAACCTTGAAGTGGTGCTTTAGCATAATTCATTGGTAATGCTGTGTTTTAAAAACAGCAAAACCATTTCATTTTAGTATACTGTATGTATATCTATCTCATTGGACAATCTCTTAACTTAAAACTCTAATGACAGAGCCATGCATGATCTGTATACCTGTCTGAATGAATATCCTGAGAGAATGAACAAGTCTAGTGTATAATATAAACTGCCTCTTCAGGACAGACGAGTGTAAATGGTAATGTAAATAAAATCAAAACCTATATAATTATTTTGTCTGACTTGTTTTCTCTTTCACATTTTTTGTCTTTTTTACGTTTTGTTTTGCTGCAGGATCATCTTGCATATCAAGTAATACAGAACGTTTGTTCTGAATAACTAAAAGGTTGTAGTTGATCCTTTTTTACTTTAAATCTTTAGTTATTTAACTGTCCTATCACCATTATCAACACACACTAAGATATAACAGCTCTTAAATTTTCAACCAGTTCTGACAGAATTACAGAACATCTGAAATATTCACAAATCTAGTAAATATCTTCTAAAGTCTTTTGAGAATGAAATGTCATCTTTGTGTTTCCCTGCAGGCTGCACAGTGTTTCCTGGATGGGCTGCAGTGGAGCAACAGTAACAAAAAAAAGTACCACATTTGTCCTTTCATTAATGTAACTTTTAGAAATAATTTTATTTGTCTAACTCAGACTGCTGATGCCTCACATTAACCTTGGATATACTTTTGAATACAATGCTGCACATAACAAGGACTGGACTTTAGAGTTCGGACAGAAGGAATGCAGCAAAACCTGTTTCATTGTTTCTAATGAGAACCTGAAAGTTGTTTATAGACAGGTTCACAGTTTTTCAAATCTATTTTTTAATCTACACTATACTATAACTGTAATATTGAAAGTTTCTAAAATACATTTAATAAAAACATGCTAAAAACAATAGCAACAACCCAGTGTGCCAATTTAGTATTGAGTATTTGTGTGTGTTTTGATTGTGTTAGACATAATCTATAAGAATTTGTCAGTAACTGACAACAACAGCCACAAGCTGAAGACGGTTTGAATGGTTATGATAAGCATGTGATTTTTTCCCTCCTGGTCGATCTTACTCATCCAGTTCTGACCTGTTAAACTGATTTTGTCAGTGTTACTATAACCATCCAGCATAATAGGTAACATATGTAACACTGGGGTAATGATGTTATTAGATTAGTTTAACACTTGATTAGTCACAGAAAAGTAATTGATTCAAATTTTGATAATTAGTTACACTCTAATTGGCTTTTGTCCTGTGTAGTGTCATTATTAATAAAGGTAAATACGATGGGCTCTGGAGAAATTGTTGTAAATTGTATCCAGACTCTATCTTTAGTGACTAAGGATTTTACACTCCCATATGTGCCCATCTTACCTGTAAAATAATATAATCAATTAAAAACAAAATCAACTTTGCTCCGCAGATAGATACACACTCCACATAACCTACACCCATGTAATACTGCTGGCACTGGAGTTTAGCCATTAGTAAATGATTAGATAAAATACTTAGTAGCAGTGGGCACCACTGATGATGTGGGTTTTATTTATCCCATGTTGATTGTCTTGCATTAGTTATCAGCATGGACCTTGAGACTGATTCATCACTGACCAATCTTTTCACCTACAATAGTACCTCTGTTGGTAGGTGCAGCATTGAGAAAGATAGGAATTAAGATAAGAAAGGAGAACCAGCATACCGGTTTCTACATGTGATCCTGCAAAATTACAGATCTTGAAATTCATACTACACCACTACTTAGAATTTTGAATTACAAGAAAACCTCTTTGGTTAAGTTTACACGTTTCTTCGCCCATTTGGAGACAATTATACCTCGCTTAAGTTAACTGTTGCAGCATGAACCGCCCAGGTGTAAGACTGGCTGCATTCCAATTCGGTGTGCCAGTGGCAGGGCCAGGCCCTTATTGTGTTGTGCAGGCTGACATTGCAAGTATTAACATGTAGTATGCCTAAACGCATTTTAATGTTGCAGCACGTCGAGATGGAGATTATTTTACCTACAATATACACTACTGAGAAATGTATTCTTCAATATGCATCGTATTTTATATATTAATAACTTGTACATCAAATGTAAAGTTCTGCAAGATAACTAGTAACTATAAAACGAATGTAACTGAGTGAAAAAAGTACAATATTTTCAAAATACTTAAGTACAAGTACCTAAAAAATGAACTAAGAGATGAATAAACTGCTCATTTCATTAGTGTCTAAATTTCTGCAACAAAAATGCCTATTACAACAGTATTTGTTAAGACATGGTCATATCAACTATTGCATAACTATGGTATGAAAAGTGCAAAAAGGTGTATTAAAATGATAATAAGAAGGGAAAGTCTCAAATGGGAGCCCTGCAAGAGATTCTGAGTCAGTTGTAATATTTTAGCGCCCTCTGCTGTACAGACAAACAAAGTACACGGATTATGTCGTTTATGACAATAAGATATTGTATTTTTATCTTTATAGACAAGCGAAAACAACGCCATATTTGATAATGTGTCAACTTCAAAGCCAGAAAATTATTTAATTTGTTTAATACAGTTATAGATTTCCTCAACTTGCCATTAGATATTACGTAACACAGGATATAAAAATAGCTTCACGTTTTCACCGGGACTTGTAGTTTCTTTCGCCCGGAAGCCAACTGTGTTTATCACGCCAAGCACTCCAACTCCCGCGATGCCACGGGACTAGCCTAAGCCGCTATCTTGGTGCACGCCCACGTAAAATAAACCCATCGACTGTAATCCTCACTGTACACAGCGGAGTCCTCTGCGGGTATTTTCTGCCATACTGTAAGTTTGTTCCGAACAAAGCGAAGAAATGGACAACTCTGGGAAAGAGAAAGAAGCGATTCAGCTAATGGCCGACGCTGACAAAAAAGTCAAGTCCTCTGGCTCTTTTTTGGGAGGGATGTTTGGAGGGTAAGACAGCACTGCACCAAAGAACAAACAGCTAGCCAGCGTTAACTGTCAGCAGCGAGGTGGGCACGCAGCCTGTGTAGACCCTTTCAGTCACTCGGCTGTGTTAACTAGAGACATTGGAGAAGTTCAGCGAGCTGGCAAACCAAAGCGAGGCCACACGTGACTTTGAGTGGGATAATTCCCCGTGTGGCAGCTAGCTGAGGTATCTGTTATCAATGTAAACAAGGCAGCAGATCACGACTCTAGCGTTGGCTTAGGAGCTACGCAGTTTGCTGTTTTGGCTCACTTCTAGGTTTTGAGATAGCTGCTTTGATTTAATTTGCTACCTTTTGTCCGCATTATGTTAGGTAACATGTATGTTCAGTCCATAAACACCAGTTTGTGGAAAATAAGCTCCTCAGAGTGAAAACCCAAACCCATTATCTTCCGAGATAATCCCCAAGGCAGTGTCCGTGAATGTATTGCTTTTAACACAACAGTATTTATAATCAAATGCTAATGGTTACTTTCATCAGTGCGCTCATTAACACCTGATTCAATCCCCAAAACACAGGTTGAAGGTTTCTCAGAGGATGAAGGATGAGGCAGACCTCCACAGTGGCAGATTCTGTGAGAGGATTCAGTCCCACTCACTTTCAGATTGCAGATTTTTATTGGCCATGATTACAGAGTATGGAGTGCAAACTACACACACAAACCAGTAAACACAAAGGGAGGCAAAACATTCTCCAAGAGCGCACTTCATTTTCAAGATCTGGCTTATCTGACCTTTCCTTAGGACTCCTTATGTCTGGATTCTTCCATGTAAAGTGATTCTTTCTCAAATGATTGTCGTTATAAAGACACCAGTGGCCTTTAGGGGGGATCATTAGTATGCTGTTATTTGTAATAGAGACAAAATAAAGGAGGGCTGTGTTTGAATAGGCCCAAAATCTAAAAAGCCAGCAGTCACTGTGACTCTTTTCCCCCCAAAGCTCTGTAGGTGACCTCCAGATATTACTAGTTGTCAGTTCTCGTGTGTGATAATTCTTGGCCGGCTTTATTCTGGTAATTCTGTGTCTGACCAAGCAGTGATGTAATCCTCTGCCATGATTGAATGGCCAGGGTATTATTACAACTACAGGGAGCTCCCAGGGGTCCACTTCTTGTCGTGGAGGGAGGGAGATCCTTGGTGCCTGTGTAGAGGGGTTTATATAAGCCAATCCACCAATCTGAGCATTGCATCTACCTGAGAAATGCAGCAGCTTTGGACAGTTCATCACCTTGGTGCCATTCAGCCATAATTTATTAGATGCAACTTCAGTATGTAGGTCAGATTAATGGTTCCTCACACCAGTTTAACTTAGTGTGCCATGTACGAGCCTGTATGAAAATGTGTACTGTCTTCTGTACATTTGTTTTCTTTTTGTTTCCTTTCCTTGTCTAGAGGACCTCACAAAGTGGAAGAAGCGTGTGAGATGTACTGCAGATCAGCAAACATGTTCAAGATGGCCAAGAACTGGAGTGGTGAGAGTGGCTGTTTTCTACTAAATATATCCAACTTTTCTATTTCACCATTCTTGAGAAGCTGTAGGATTATGTGCAGATAGATTTTTTTTTTTTTTGGCACTAGAACTGCAAAGCGCAGCACTTGTGAAGGTGCCACAAGTAAAAAAAGGTGGAATTATGTGCATAAATTAGAACGTAAGCTAAACGCAAAGTGTACAGTATGTGTGAGAGTGTCTGTGCTTCTCTTTTCTCTGCCTTCAGCTGCTGGAAGTGCATTTTGCAAGGCTGCACGTCTCCACATGCAGCTACAGAACAAACATGACTGCGCCACCAGTTTTATTGATGCAGGAAACGCTTATAAGAAGTCTGACCCTAATGGTAAGACTACTTGATAACTAATTAGGATGAAACCTGATCTCACACCATGTCTTCAGTTTTACTGCATGAATCTTTATTTCCTTTTTTTTAACTATATATCTGTATTGTTTCAAGTAATGAACTGTTGAATCTACAGCAGCATTTAAAGCACTTATTGCTGCCATGTGTCACAACCATGACTAAATACTTATCATTAAGAATGTTTTCATGAATGATATTTGCAGTTAGGTTGATTTGCTAAAGGATTCCCACATCTAGCAGTGTGAAAATGAGGCTACCCCTGTGGGATATGTCCTCTAACAGAAAATTAGTCACGTCTCCAGAGATTGTTTATACTGTAGAGCATTTTTTACCAAAATCTTTGATGTCCCCAGGCTGAATTCCCTCATTTTTTTACAGTAAATCATGTTTTCATTAGTGTATCATTACCTGAAAATAAGAATTGTTATGTTTTTGTTACCTTAGAATGAGCCTTTTATATCTACAGATGCCAAGGGTTGCTTCCATGGAGGCTGGCATATTGAACCTCCATGTTTCTACATCAGCCCAGATGGGACAAACCAAACAGTGGCTCTAGATAGGGCCGCTCCTAAATCCTACACACTGGTCCTTTGAGTAATTTATGTGCTAGAGTTATTGCTCTTTAATTGCATGGCATTTACAATTAGTTGATTTATCGTGCCCTCTCTGTGGCTTCATTTAAAATTCTCCTTAATATAGATCTAGCCATAGGTTGGGGGGGATGGTAGCTGGCTGATGTATTTGTTTTGTTTAGAAAAAAAAGAGGAGGGTCTTGCTTGTGATTTTGTGTTGTATTTTACCGGTCATATATAATACCGGACTGCATGCAACACATGAAAGACTCTGATTGTATTTGTTCACCTCATTTCACCCAGTGAAAAGAGCACAGCATGTAGACTGATGCAGAATGAGTCTCTGTGCGAGGGTCTCGAACAGAACTAACACCGTCTCTAACTTTTCCCTCCTCTTCCCTCAATGCTGCCAAAAGAGGCAATCAAGTGTTTAAATGCTGCCGTCGATATATACACAGACATGGTAAGATGAACATAGAACGTGTCCATCCATGTCCTGATCCACAACACAATTGATTTTTGTTTTTATGGCTGAGAAGTGTTTAGTTGTGATTTCTACTTCCCTTTGACTTACAGTATTAGCTCTGGATAGCAAATCATCTAGAACAGTTGTTTCCAACCTTTTTCCTTAAGGTCCCTCAAGGTATTTTCTATCACTGAGTAAACTGTCAACCCCTGACTAAGTGATATATTATATTATTATATTCAATGCATAACAATAACAGTACAGAACAACTGATAAACTGTATAATAAACCCAAATAGTGATCACAATAACTGTAGGATGTTTGCTTTTTATTCATTCGGAGCAGATTATTTCGGCAGAATATTGCATCAGCGATACATTTTCCTAATATTTTTAGGAACTTTTATTACAGTTCTGTCATTTATGTTTAACGACTTAGTCGGCTTCTTTTTTGACAAATTCATTGTTTTCTTCTCATTGTTTTAGTAGGTCTTTAGTTGTTCTAACTGCAAGCTTTTAAATGCATGACGAGTCAGTTCAGCAGAGAGTAAAGGCTCTGTAAATATAGATTGTGTTCAGGTCTTCACCGGGCCGCTTATATCTTGCATAATAATCTAAACTTTTAAACTAAAATCATAATTTCATTTAGTTTTCTTCATAGAAATGAACAAAATGCTAAGATAGTTTTCTTATAGCCCTTAAAATTAAGAAGGCCTCGTGACCC